AGTCCAAGGGACAAACCACAGCTGTTTTGCCCTGGGATACAAGGCACGAGAGAGAAACTGAGATACTTTCCCCTAAATGTGCCTCCTCCAGACGTCTGGCAAGTCACACAAGTGTGTTACAGTCCACCCATCCCATGCAGGAACACATGGAGCTTGAACTGGGGTGATTTTCTTTCTGTAAGGAAAAAGGCAAACATACAGGACTGTTGGGAAAAGGGAAAGGAGAGAAACATTCATGAAATGCTGCAAAAGCTTTGACATTTCTAGGCATTAGTGTATCCATTGCTGCCTCTCCGTATTTTTGAGCAACTAATTGTTCAGACAAGAGTAATACTTTAATTTTTCCAGGGGGATATCATGTTTTCAGAGCATTTCCAGGCACCTCCACTGCTCAGTCTCCAAAGTGTGGTGTTTCCATCTCTCTGAAGAGGTGATTACTCAGGTAGCTACTCTACAGAGGCTTTTCTTTACCGCCACAGAGGAACACAACTGCCATAGCAAGTTCTGCTCTAAGTGAACTCTTGGTACTGTAAGCCCCTGCAAGACTTTCCAGGCCATGTCATCTTGCTTTCCCAGGTGTGTTTGCTTATTTTTGCAGTAATTAGCCTGAAACTGAGCCACAGAACTGCACTTTCTATACCAGCCTGGCTTTTTCAACTCCTGATGGTTTAAATAAAGAAATGCCTATGTTTAAGCTCATATATGTACACAAGGGTAAGAACTACTGAAGTGGCGCTGCCAGTGTCCCCACATCTCTTTCCATGGTTAAGCAGAGATGGTTTGACCTCTAGAATTGTCAGTCACTCTCTGATGCTTGTCCCAGTGGCCTGCAGTCTTCCTGGGATCTCTCAGAGGACCTGTGGGAGGTATCCAAGAAGAGGAAATTCATGTTTATGACGCAGTGATTCACCTCAGTGAAATCTTCTGGTGGATTTTTACGAGGGCATGTGGTGACAGGACAAGAGGGAATGGCTTTAAACTGCAAGAGGGTAGATTTAGACATTAGGCAGAAGTTCTTCCCTGTGAGGGTGCTGAGGCTCTGGCACAGGGTGCCCAGAGAAGCTGTGGCTGCCCCATCCCTGGCAGTGTTCAAGGCCAGGTTGGACACAGGGGCTTGGAGCAAGCTGCTCTAGTGGAAGGGGTCCCTGCCCGTGGCAGGGGTTGGAACCGGAGGAGCTTTAAGCTCCCTTCCAACCCAAACCAGTCCGAGATTCTATTGTATGATTCTATGATCTGCATCTTCCTTGCAAAAATTTAGCTCACCTTAAGATTCCAGTTAAAATCAAGTTTATCAGAAGTTTGATGGGTCAGAGCAACCTGTAATAGTGGGAGTTGGTCTCAAAGAGCTTTTTATGAGCCTGTACAAATAGATATCCGGCCCAGCAGCTCAGAAAGGTTTATTCCTTCTGTTGTCTTTCCTTACTAATATTCTAATTTTAGTTTCTTACCAAGCAAGATGAATACTGGCAGTGAAAGTTACTTAAAGACCCAACTGAGCTGCATGCCTTTCCTCCTAATTGCTTCTATGAATATCAGCTCAGGATTGTGGAGCTGCTGCTAGTGCTTAGGACATACCCTGCTCACTGTGGGGGGGTTCTCCATTAGGCAGACACATGGTCACCTGCACCAGGTATTTCTTCCTAGAGGATGACTCCCAGTGGCAAAGATTTCTTTGGAATGTGTGAACACAAAGCCCAAAGAATGGCCTTTTCCTGCAGAGGTCGGTCTCAGGCAGCAGTTATGCTTGTAAATATGCATGGAAAGGGAACAAATGATCAGGCATGGTCTTCCAAAAGCATTGCAGTGACACAGAAATCAAAGCTCTCCTTTTAAACGTGACAAGAACTGCGGCATGAATTCCCCTAGGTACATGGGTCCCAAATTCCTTGGTTTTGAGAGAGGAGTCAGGCATCCAGTTATTTGAATGGATATGAAAATCTACCTGCTAACTAACCTACCTAACTCAGGCTTGGCTTTCCAAATATCCATTTAAGGTCCAAGGTGTCTGTTCTCACCAGTTAAGTCTCCAAGGAGCAGGTTTTCTGCTATTCTACTTAACCAGCCTCATCCAAGAGCATCATGTGCCAAACATCTGCATTCACACGCTATTTCCTCCTACCCCATGCCGAGTGTCCCTACCTGGGTGCAGAACAGCCCTGATCCAGAAGCCCCCCATGAAGCTGGCCTATTCAACCCCAAACATCACGATGCTGACTGAAGATGCGACAAAGGGACGGTCACCTTCAGGGTTCTGGATGCCGGAAGGGAACAGGAAAATAAGGAAAAGAAGAAAAGAAAGGAAAGATTTAACACACACATGCACGTAGGGATAGGGGAGGTCAGAAACCACCAGATCCAGCCGGGTTTGAAGCCCTCTTTTGGGAAGACAAGCGTCCGGGCGGGGGGGGGGGGGAGCTGTGCCGGTGCTGCCGGTCGCTGACAGCAGGTGGCGCTGCCTCCAAGGGAACGGCGCCGTCGGACCCCTCTTGGGATCCCCCCACATTCCCGAGAGGCCCCTCGACAGCAGCGCTTCCCTCCCCAGAAGGACCTCAGATTCCCCCCCATAAACGTGTCCCCACGCTGCTGGGGACCCAGCCCTGCATCGCCTGTTGCAGAGGCTCCACAGTGTTATGTCCCCGCTTCGAGGTGCCCCCATCATCCCCAAGCCGTGCCCCAAAGTGGTACCTTGCACCCCTCATAAACACACTGGGGGACACAAACTCGGCGGGGGTGGCAGCTGCCAACACGGGATCCAGCGCTGGGTGACCCTGTAGGGGTGGGAGAAGTCCCCAAAGGGGAGAAAAGGGAAGCATTGAGGCTGCCAATGCGCCCCTGCAATGGCAGGGCATGGCCCTGATCCCGGACTCCCAGTTGGAGGTACATCCTGCATCAAATCTCATTGGATGCACCAGTCCCTGTTTCTCACTATGCTCCAAAATTTCAGCCTAATTTCGTGGGCTTCCACAGGGCATCTGCAATAAGGAACTCTTTCCTAGAGTAAAAGTCCCCAAACCCCACAGAAAACCGTGTTGTTGTGTCACACACGGAATGGAAAGTGGGCGATGAGATTGCTGACACTGAACGGAGCCACAGCAGCTGACCACGGTCAGATCGGGGCCATTACATGAGAAAATACAGTGTTTCCGAGCAAGCCTATGTCTCATCTCCTTGCACAGGAGATTTCTGAGCGAGCTGACTTCTACTTGACTCCTGCTAGAGCCCCAGAAGATGTACGAGTGGAGCTTGTGCAAAGGGACTGCTGTGATAGCAGCTAGAGGTTTTTGCTATCCCTTTGGACAACATATACAAGGAAAAACTCGAGTTTGCATTGTGGAGAAGAGTTGGGGACAGGAGCTGGTAGGGTTTCATCTTCTCCTCTCTGCTGTAGGTGTCTGAGATGGAGAGCTGCCTGTTTAGACTGCGCTCACTGGCTTGAGGAATATGTGGCGTCCATGGTATGTGGTGGTTCTGTTTTTCCAGGTTTGGAAAACGACAGGAGGGAGAAAAATGAATTGTGTAAACCTTTGTTGGGAACAAACCCCTTCAAGCAGGACCTGAGGCTTGCAAGGTGCCTGCCTGACCTTTCCAGCCTGGCAACGGTGCCACACACAAATGGCCACATCCAAGATTAATCCTCGAGGATGAAGATGAACCTTAGGAGCAACAGTGATATATCAGCAAAGGAAGAACCACTTGGCAAAACCTGAACTCCTAAGCCTGGACCTTCCTCTCAGCCACACCTAGCACAGATATGTGCTTTAAGAGCAAAAAAAACCCACAGTTTTCAGCTTGGATATAAAAAGGATGGGAATGATGCGGCTTACCTCCAACAGGGATGGGCAGCAGTGCAGATGATGGAGGGATCAACCCATAAAGGCATAAAACCAGGAAAACCCCACTAAATACTGCAGGCTGATTGTTGCTGGCTTAAACAGATCTACCCTAAAAATAAAAATCCAACCAAACAATCCCAAAGTCCCCAAACCAACACCCCCCTTCCCCCATAAAAACCCCAAATAACAACAAACCCCCCACTCACTGTGAAAGGCCTCCACCAGCTCTGATAGAGCCTTTCCCACCTGCCTTAATTAAAAGAATGGTTAGACTTCTTGTTACCGGCTAACTTTGCTTTTAATTAAGCTGATTACACACAGCTGGGCTAATTACCGCGCACTAACCTAATTTCCCCATATAAAGGCAGAAACACACAGCCAACTAATCAGATTAATTTGCGTGCATCTTTCTTTTTTCAATATGAGTGTATAATATTCATAGTGTGAGCGCTGAGACAGGCGTATCGGACCACGGATCAAAGCGAAATTCCTTGGGTAGGGGAGGAACCTAAATTAGACAGAATAAACCCAAATTCTGCGGAAAAAGACTTATTTTTCTGATGAGCCAGGCTCTGTGTCCCCACTGCCTTCTCTCCTCTCGCTGAGGATTTATCTCTGCTCGGCACAGGACCGTGATTGTGCAGAACTCAATCGGTTTGAATATTTTCTTATTATTATTACTATTATTATTACTATCACTCTCCTGCGGCCGCTACCAGCGGAGGTTCCGCTGGGATGCGCGGTTCGGGCTACCCGAAAAATAACCGTGTCCCTCCCGGGATGGAGAAGGAAAGAGAAGGAGCCGCAGGCTCCATCCCCTCAGCGCCGCGCCTCGTCCCCGGATAAGAAGCAAAGAATAAGAGTCAAACCCCTCCTTTCGCTTTCTCCTTGGATGGTTGGGGGGGGGGGGGGGAAGAAGAGAATTTAATAGAGAGAGAAAAGCTTAAATCGCCTCCGGTTTTCCTGTTTTCCTCATCCTCATTCTAAGTATTTCCACGTTGGAAGCCGCCACCAAGTCTCCCCGTCCCCCCCCCAGATTCCCTTTCGAGCCCGCACCGAGGTGGGGAATCATAGCGCTTCGCGGAGCCCACGGACTCCTCAGATATAACTACGCGTGTTACACCGCATGCTCGTTTATTTGCTGCTCGTACAATCGTGAAGCTCATGTACAAGTAACATACATGTTTTATTTTGGTTCGATTTTTTTTTTTTTCCTTTAGGGACAAAACGTACAGAAAAGGGCAGGGAGAAAAAAAATAACCCCACGAAGTTACAAATTTATACAGTGCAGAAAGAATTAAAATAGGTATCACCGACTTGTATGAAGTCATGGCAAAAAGACAAAATACGGAGGGGGGGGGTGAAGGGAGGGGAATAATCCTTCATTATATATATATTTCTATAAAAACATATGGAGAATTGCCTTTACACAGAGACCACGATCAGCTTAAAATTTATAAAGGTTAACTAGAAAAAAAATCTATATGGCAAATATTGCCAACAGAGATTCACCGATTTAATACTGATCAACTGAGACTACTCGTGTCTCGATTATTAGCAACAACAACAAAAATAATGTAGAATAAATAACAGAATGAGCATGGCTGTCTCTTTTCAAAGTGCCTTTTTCTCTCTGCATAGGGTCTGATCCTGCAGTTTTTATGCAGGCAAAAAAAGTAATATTAATAGCTAAGAAAAATAATCCCTCTGAGAGATTTTTGCCCGCTGCGTGTTTGCTGGGTAAAGAAAAGGAAGATGGGGGCATTACTTTGAAGAATGGGCTCGAAATGAAGCGGGACCGAGCGGATCGAGCTGGGGGGCCCCGGGCGCTCCTCCCGCGGTGCAGGGCGGAGGGGCCGCGGGATGCGCCGGTTTTGGGGTCGGGAACGTTTACAGCCCCCCCAACCCCAGGTCGAGCCGGCTCCGCGCCCGCCAATTGCGCTGATGGCACTGCTCAATGCCAAGGATAAAATTGAATTAGTAATTGAACTATATTTTTTCCCCTTTTTCTTTTAAAAAGAAACATCAAACCCTCTTTTGTCGAATCCCTTAACGCAAACTCGCAGTCAGGGTTTTTCGCGGGGAGGGCTCTTTGCTTTCTTCTCAACCCAACCCCAAACGAAGAAGCAGAAGAAGGCAGAGACCGTCAGTGATTGAGGACCCGCATTGAAGGGTCCGGCCAATGCTCAGCTGTGGGGCAAGTTTAGCCCCTATCCCCCAACCCACTCCCGAGGAGCCGGGATCTCTCTCCCGGGCACAGTCTTTTCGCAGAGATCCCCCTTATTTCCATCGAGGGTCCGCGAGGGGGGGGGGGTCGAGGCTCGGGTCAGGCCTCGCCGCCCCCGGGAGGTGTTTTTTCCGCCCTGTATCACATAACGCACGGCTTGATGTCCTGGTATGTCACTTGTTGGTGGTAATAGGAGCCGCTGCCCGCTGAATGCATGGAGGAGGAGGCCATGGCGTTGAAAGAGAAGACGAATTCCTTTCTGTCGCACATGCTCGGAGACTGGGAGTGATACCGCGGGATGCCTGCGGAACGGAGAGGAAAGATCGTCAGCCATCGACATTATATTTAATGGGGAAGTTGAAGACGGGGAGAGTGGGGAAAAGCCGCCGTCTGGATTAAAAAACTCCAATAAAACAACCAAAGCACAAAACAACCGCAAAACCCATCCCAACCTCTCCGCAGCCCCACGGTATAGGGCGGAATTGGCTGTATTTCTGCGTTTTCACACAGATACACGAGTGCTCCAAGGGCTCCGCGGGTGCGGACAGGTGCGGTGGGGAAAACCTCCCGCCCGGCCTAAGGATGCTTCGAGCAGACGGAGTCTGGGGTCGGCTCGGGTTTGGTTTGCCCCCCATTTTACGCTCTTGAAGGTACCGGCTGCTTTTCCCATGGCTTCCGCAGGGTGCGAGGCAGGGAAGCAGGGCCGGCGGGAGGGCCGGGGTGGAGAGGCCGAAGGCGAAGGGCTGGGAGGACCGGAGCTGTTCCTGCGCTTTCTGATGCCACTTAGGGACAGAAAACCCCCGCTAAACTCGGGGTGCTCCGGGGAGGAGCGGCCGCTCGGAGCCCTGCTGCCCACCGCGCCAGCGCCCAGCGCCCGGGCGTTAAATCAGAGCGTTGCGGTTAGGGCAGCGGGCGGGCCCGGCGGCTCCTCGGGCTTGATTTTTGCTGTTTTTCCAGCAGATCCGGGTGCGATCACCGCCGGACGAGCGGCCCGGGGCTGTGCTCGGGCCAGGCCGCTCCGTCCGGCCCTGCTGATGCGCGTTTTCTCTCCTCTCCACTTCGTGGTTGTGCCCCGCTAACGCTCCCTTTCACACCCGTTTGTGCCTGGTACTTCCGCTTCCCCAAGCCCCGGGGTGATGTGCAAGGATCCCCAAACCTGCCCCTCCACCGGCCACAGCTCCCAGGCTGCCCCGTACACTGAGATTCCACCCCCGAGATGAATTTGGGCCGCAAGACAAAGCCCATCTCCTGCCTCGTCCCTCCTGAGGCCTCCTCCGGCCTAACCACCATCTCCCCGCTTCCAATAGCCGGGGCAAATCCCCTCCAGCAGCTCCACATAGGAGCTGGTGGCGATGCTGGACCGGGGATGCGGGGCACGGAGGCCCCCCGATTTCCGCATGGGCGGAGGGAAGCGATGGGCCTGGGAAACACAGCCCCGAAAGTAGCGGATGGAGGGGCTGGGAAGGTGCGGATGGCCGGCACCCTAGTGGGGAAATGCTCCCCGTTGTTCTCCCTCCGGAGCTCCCCATGTCCCCATAGAAGGGGAAAGAACCTTAACCCCGCAGCCCCACGGCTGGGTGAGCCCGGAGGCCTCGACAGCAGAGCGGCTTCCAGGGGTAGCACAGCCCCGGCCCGGCTGGTCGGAGCCGAGCAGTAGCTGGGCAAACCCGACGGCTGCCCGGGTGCGGTCGGAAGGGAAGTGAGGAGTGGATCCAGGAGGACCCACGCATGGCCATGAGCCCCCCTCCGACCCCCGCGGCGGTGGCCTCGGTAAGTCCCACGCGTGTCTGCGCCTTACCTTGGAGCTCGGCGGTGTTGTGGCTGTTCTGGTGCAGGTAGGACTGGTCAAGGGAGTGCGTGGAAAGGCTGGAGGACAGCGGGTTGGCCGTGGGGTTGCAGGGCGACAGGGGCTGCTGCTTGATGTAAGACGCGCCGGTGTTCAAGGCCGCCGAGGCGGAGGGTGCCCACGCTGAGGCCGAGCTGGAGTAAACCGAGTGAGGCTCCATCACGCCGCCGCCGGCGAGCAGCGGGGAGGCGGGCACGGAGCTCTCGTGGTGCGGGTATTCCCCAGCCGAGGAGCCGGTGCAGCCGCCCATGTAGGAGTGCCCACCGTTGGCGGGCAGGTGGGGCACGGAGTGTCCCGCGAGGCCCATCCCCTCCACGTTGCTGGACAAGTGCCCGTTCATCATCCCCAGACCCCCTTCAAGGGAGAGGCTGTTGGGGGGGCAGGAGAGCCCGCCGGCCGAGCCCTGGAAGCCGTAGCTCTCGGGGAGGTGGTTGAAGCTGAGCCCGTTCATCATGCTATACATGGGCTTCAGCGCTTGGCATTTCCTCCTGAACCCGCGGGGTCGGCGGCGAAACGAGCCCTCCTCGAACATGAACTCGCTGGCCGGGTCGATGGTCCAGTAATGGCCCTTGCCCGGGCGTCCCAGTCCCTTGGGCAACTTGATGAAGCACTCGTTGAGAGAGAGGTTGTGGCGCACCGAGTTTTTCCAGCCCTGGTAGGAGCCGCGGAAGAAAGGGAAGCGGCTCTGCAAGAACTGGTAGATCTCGCTGAGGGTCAGGCGTTTCGAGGGTGAGCTTTGGATGGCCATGACGATGAGAGCGATGTAGGAGTAAGGAGGCTTCTCCGGCCGCCGGATCCCCGCGTTGGTCTTCTTCGCTTTGGGACCGCCGCTGCCCGGGGCTCCACCGCTACCCGGGGCGCTGCCGGTCGCCCCTCCGGGCGCCGCGGAAGCGGTGTCCATGGCCGAGCTCTGCGGCTGCTTCTCGGCCACGGAGGACATGGGGCCGTAGCTGCTCTGCACCGGAGGAGGAGGGGGCTGAGAGGACAGAGCCTGCTGCGCTTCTGCAGTCATCTACGGCCGGGTCCTCGGCGGCCAGCCCCGGCCCTCCTCCGCCAACACCCCCCCCGCGCTCCCCCAAAAGGCCACGCTGCTGGGGGCTCGCCTCCACTCACCCCGCCTCCGGCCTCCTCCCGGCCCCCCGGCGGGGTTTCTTTCCACCGGGAGACTTCACCGCTCCGTGGATAAACAAATGGAAGCAACGATTCCCCCCCCCCCCCCAAGTCCCCCTTTCCCTCCTCCTCCCACTTTATCCCTAAATCCGAGCCCGGCTGCAGAAGGCGAGCGAGAGGCGGAGGGTCGGGAGGCGGGGGGCGGGCAGGGAAGCGGGATGGGGGGGCGGGTGGAAGCGAGTTGTGCTCGGCTGCTGCGAGAAAGAAGCCGGCGGCCTCCGCCTTGTCCCTCGGCGGGCCGGGCTCCCGGGGCCGCCGTCCCCGTCCCCCCCCTCCCCGTGCCCCGGCTCTAACTGGGCTGGCGCTGCCGGTGCTGCGGGGAGCTGCTTCCCATCGCGGTGGCTGTCGAGTCTGCCCCCGGCCCCGCTGCTCGCCTTTTACTCTATCTCTAGCGGCGTCGTCTGCCGCTCCTTGACAGACGTAAGAGCGGGGGGCGATCCCCGCCCCGGCCCGGCCCCCTCCGCGCCCGCTCCCAGCTGGTGGGCAGCTTTTAAAGGGCCCTTTCCACGCCACCCCTAGCGACACAAGGGCTGGGAGACACATCCCAGCCCGCTCCCGTGTGTATGTGTGTGTTTTGGAGGGGGGACTTGTCAACCGTGGCCGTGCCGCTGCGTGGGGCTCCCCCATTTCCCCCCATTTTCCCCGGCCACCCCTGCTAAAAGTCACTGGAGGGAGGTGGGAAGGGCCGTGGAAGGGGCCGGGGCGCGGCAGTGCGGGCCTGCGGGCGACGCGGAACTTCCGCGGGCGGCGCAAGGCAGCGGAGGTGCTGCCCGGCCGCGGGCTCCGCGCTGCGCGGAGTTTCACCCACTTGAAACCCCCTCTTCTTGCGCTCTTTTAAGCTCGGCGGGCCAGGGCAGGATGTTTATACTGCGCAATGTAAACACGGGCTCGGGGGTGCTTTAATAAAAAGAAATCGGCGAAAACTCCTGCTGCCTCTTGAAATGCCCTTTTCTGTCTTTGCCGCCGGGCCGGGGATTAGGAGCGGGCTTCGGACCCCTCGCCTGCTCCGAGGCTGCCTTAGGATGAGGCTGGGATGGGCTGGTTTTGAGGGAGAGTTACACAAATGTGTGCTGAAGTGTAGCAGGAGCCTTATGCTCAGCTCCGGCGGATGCCACGGGCACAAACGCGGGGTGGGGGGAAAGATAATAGGAAGGCAGGGGGGCGAGACCCCCTTATCCTCCCCAACCCCTTCAGAAATACCCCAATGCACCCTTTTGAGCATCGTCCCATCAGGAGAGGTATCACCTAAGGTAAGTCGCTTAAAACCTTTGTCACCTTCTTTTTCGGATCGCGGGTGGAAGTCTGTGCTCTGGGGGGGGGGGTGTGGGGGGTGTGAGGGTGGGTGGCAGGAGCCTGGGCTGCTAGCTGGGAGCGGAGCAGATGCTCTGCCTGCTGCTGCGTGTGCTCCCTTTCAAGACTGGGGAAAGGAAAAGAGAAAGGAATGGGGGTAAAAAAGGAGGAAGAGGAACCTTACATGCATACACCATACACCCCCTTTGCCCTTTGCAGGCCGCAGGGCTGTGGGTCTGTCCCCCTGCATCCCGTGCAGAGAGAAAGGAGGGGGAACCTTCCACAACCTCCCCCCCCACCCCCGTCTTCCAAATTCGCTTTCAAAGTTTTGCGATGATCATTTAATGCTTTTTAAAAGAACGATAGATACCGATCGGGTTGAGAAACTCCCTCCGCGTTATTCGCGGGCAGTTGTGAGCAGCCTCCGGGGCGCCTGTCACATCTGTGACACCACCGAGAGGGATTTCACATCAGGAGCTTCCCCCCCTCCTCTCCCTTCTCCTTCCCCTTTCCATCGTATGCCCCCTCCACGCAAAATGAACCTTCTGCAGAAAGCACCGGCCCTCACGTTCCCGGGGCAATCGGGGGTACGAGATGATGCGACATAGGGGACAAGCAGGGGGTAGTCGCTGCAAACAGACGCAGGCTGTGGACAGGTACATAGTGACGGGATGCAGGCAGTAATTTCTGGAGCTTCTTAAGGAGGAGGAGGGTGCCCGGGAAAAATCGTTTTTTTTCGGGAAGCGATCACCTTCCCCGGGTGTTACAGCCCCGGCGCGGCTGGTCCAGAATAAACCCCCGCTTCTCGCTGTATTTCTTTGTATTTTAGAGGGGGGAGCGCATCGCTGACCCTGATCTTTGGTCTGCACCGAATGCCCCTCCTCGGGCTGCCAAAAGGGTGTTTTTCTTTGCTTTGCATCCCTCTGTGACTGAATCTCCCCAGCGTGTCTCCAAAACACCCGGAGATGGAGCTCGAAACGCAATACAAAGAGTTCGTGTAAAAACCACGTTCAAAACCGTCCCACCAGCACCGTTTCCACCAGGAAATAAAATAGCTCCGAGCAAAAAAAATTCCAAAATAACCCAAAATAAACCAGCAAAAACACCCTCTCTGAGGAAATCAAACGGTTCCCCTTCAAAGCAAGTAAGTCCTTGCGGGAATGCCCTCTCCGTCCCTCACACTACCTTTTCGGAGTGTGAAGATTTGGTTTACGATGTATTACAGCCAGCGAACGTGAAAAATGCAAATATAATGCTCCGGGTTCGATAGGCCTAGCAGTGGGAATAGCAAAAACCTTGGAGGGTTTTAAACCGAGCCCGTGAATTGGGGAAAAGGAGAATTTTAAGGAGGAAAAGCCGGGCCGGGGGGTGTCCGATGGTGGCTGTGAGTGTGACCTGCCTGTTTGCTGGTGCTTTTTGTGCTTGAACCGATGGGGAGATGCTGGGAAGGGGGTGAGAGAAGAAGAAAACTAAAAGATGATCTAGAGCAATTAGCCCTGCAAATCCCAGCACGGTTTGGAGCCCGTTTTGCCGGCCCGATCCCGCTTATTCCCCGCGCCCACCCCCAGCCCCTCTGCGCTTCCTAACCGGCTCCTTCCCAAACCCTCTCCCCTTCTCTCCCTCCCTCCCTCCCCGAAACCCGGCAGTGTTTTGTGTAAAAATAGACAAATCCGAGCTTTCTTCCTTTTCCTGCGCCGAAGGTATTTTCACTAGCTAATTGCTTAAGTGAAGTCAACTTTGCAAAGCAGGCCGGGTGTAACCCGAGTATGGAAATGTATATAGGTGGTATTGTTATAGGCGGGCTGGGTGCTGCTCCGAGAGGGGCCGGGGTGTTCCTGCAAGCCCAGACCACCCAGGGCGAGGGGAGTGACCGCCTCATGTCCCCCTCCCCGCTGCCCCTGCTTTGCATTAACACCACCCGCAAGACCCCCCCCTCCCCTTCTTCTCCAGCACCGGCTCTTTTCCCTCGATGGGTTTTGCGTTTTAGGAGGTATTTTTTTAGCTTTGTATATATATATATATGTATTTTTTTTTTCCTTTCCTTCAGTCGCGGCCATCTCCGTGGCCTCTGGCCCCAGATCCGCAGCAAATCGATCCCTAAATATTTAAGGTTGAGGGGGTGCTTTCAAGCAAGGGGCTTAAGGCTGGGAGAGAGGAGATGTGAACGGACCGAGGTGGTATTGGGGGTTATTTAGCCCATTTTTGGGGGGGTCCACTACACTGAAAAGGCTTGCCCCAGGCGTGTGCGTGTGCCTGATGGCGGACGGGCCCTTTCCCGATGGCACCCGCGGCTCCGGGACCGAGAGGGACCTGATGGAGGTTTTGGGGGAAAAGAAGCCGAAAGCAGGAGCGGGTGCGAAGTGAAGCGCCCGAAGCGCTGGGGCGGCTGCGGGGAGGTGCGGGCTGGCTGTCAGCAGCCGTGCCTCGGGCACAAGTTCAGCCTTTGGTCAGAAACAGAAAAAAAAGGGAAAATCTTACACTTCCCCCCCCCCCCCCCGCCTTTTGTCTCCCTCCCCCCCCCGCCCCCCCGCCCGTCCAAAGACTCTCCCCACCCCCATCCCACATTTTCCATGACGTCCTTCGATGAAATATTGCAGCACAGGAATTTACAGCCCTCTTCAACACAGGATTTTTTAGGAATTTTCTGGCAGGACCCGGTCCCTGTGATACAAATCGGTTCCAGCGATAATAAGCCCCGAGTGCTACCACTTAGACACGATCGCTTCCCACAGAGATCTTCTAAATATCTCCGGGTATTTATATCCCTGCTCAGGGACGGATAGCTAGAATATTTTCCCCGGGGGGATGCTTTTTACTGGCTGGGATTATGAGTTGAGGACCTGGGTACCGAGGGAAACAGCGGTGCTGAATAGGGGCAGAGCTGGGAGCCTGCGAGTGATGCTCCCGACCACCTCTCCGCGAAGGAGCTCGCCCTTAAAGGCAGCCCGATTAATTCAGGTGTAAATCCAGTTGTAAATCCAGGCTGGTATTGCTGAGCCATCCATGCTTTCTCGGGCAAGTTTTCTTTCCTCTAGTGATGGGGCCCGGTGCTGGGAATGCCCTTACATTCTAAGCAGGACCCTCGAGAAGGGTTGCCCCCCTTTCCCAGCGCTTGGGCAGAGCACTGTGGCATGCAAACAGAATGAGTAGCCATTTCCAGCTTTTCTAGCCCCAAACTCCCCCGGGTTAGAGGTAAAACGGGGACAGCGGTGCCAGAGAAATATTTCTGTGCACTGAGTTTCGTGAAGCCAAAATCAGACCCCCTCCCCGACGTCTCCCAGAACGAAAAGCTCGGCTGGGCCGAGCAGGGCGAAGGTGGGCGAGGGGTTTCCCCGGGGTTCAGCCCTATTTCCAGGCTTAGTAACCTTTTTTCGTTGTTTTCTTCCCAGCTCTAAACCAAAACCCCGTCGAAATCGCACTGATGCTCTCTTAGTGCACGCAGGGAGGGACTTTTAGCACCAGGCAGGCGAGGGTAGCTGGCTCCCCGTTTCGGGGTATCACCTAAAATCCGTCTGCACGGAGAGGTGAGGAAAGACAAAACGGAATTGCCCACACCAAGGATTAAGGGGTTATTTCTTAACACGGGTACTGAAAGCCGAGGGGACGGCACATTGCGGGACTAAGTATTAACCAAGCTGGAGACTTCGTCTACTCCCAAATATTGCGGAGAGATGCATAAAACAAACGGATGGGTTTGGGGCATAATCCGGCCTCCCAGTGCTGTCCCTCGGTGCACAGTCCCCGGGACAACAGACCCTGGAAGGGACCGCCAGCTCCGGTGCCCTAGGCTGGGGATGCTGGCAGTAGGCTTCCCAAGAGGGGGAACTGTGGGTACCCACACGGTTTCTGCAGCCTTGCAGAGCCCCGGATAGGTGCCTGGTACTTCGGGAGCGAGTGGGCTCCGAGGAAGGAGAAACGACCTTCCCGGGACCACCGAGGCAGGAGCATCACTTCAAGGAAAGAGGGGGTGCCAGCACCCGGGTGTTCCCCAGGGCAAGTGCCCCCGGGGTGCCAGCATCGGTGTCCCCAGCAGCCACCACCGCTTGTCACCTGCAGAAAGGGGAGAAGAGATGGCAGAGCCATCCACGCAGAATACCGTGGTCCCCCGTGGGGAGGGATGCAGCGAAGGATGCTGAGGGCAAGGCTCCACTGGGAGACCCTTGACAACGACCGGCCGGGAGGCACCGACATGCTCGGGTGCCTGTACCTGACAGGGGGAGGACAGCCCTTCGGCTTACGGGAAGGTTCCAGCTGCAGCAGAGGGGATTTGTCCCTCTGGTCTCTGCCCAGGGGGCTCCCATGCCCTGGGACCGGCCAGGTCCGCACCGCTCGCAAAAGCTGGTTTTGCTGGATGGAGCCCCGCAGCATCGCTCTTGGGGTGGGTGAACTGCCCGTGGGCCTTTTCTCCAGGTCCTTTGCTGCAGGGAGTGTGGCTGCAGAAGGGCCTTGCAGTCCCCGGGCAAAGGGACAGCTCACGGCAGTCCCCCAAGGGAGAACTACCCTTCCCGGACAGAGGTCAGCCACCGCCTGGTCCCCAGAGATACCTCCTGCGTGTTTTGGGTTGCTATAATCTCTCATCTGAGCTCCATTCTCCCCTTCCCAAACACAAAGGCGGGTCGGGGCTTACGTTCACAAAAGATACCCTCAGTTCCCCTCTCCCTACTCCCCCATTTGCAGAGACCTGGGAGTGGTTTTCCTTGGAAACTCTCCCAGCAAATGCTGATTTCCATCGTTGTTGTTGTTAATATTATTACTATTACTACCACTATTGCTATTGCTATTACTATTAGTTACTTTTCTTACTATCAAACGAGTGAACTCCCGACTAAAGAAACACCGCTTTATTGGAGACCCCTAGCCACTCTCTTGTGGTCCAACGGGCTCTGGAGCAACGCTGCGGGTTGCTGCATATTCATGACACCCTTTGCTTTGCAGTTACCAGCGCAGAGAGTGAAAAGGC